TTTTAAAAAAATTGAAAGTCAGTTTGCGTAGTAGGTTTAATGGGAAACAACCAAATTATGAAATGATTAGATTAGCGATCCCAAGAACGTCTTTTCCTTCTCCTTCATTTGTCTAACATCACAAAACTGCCTAACAGATTGTCCTTTTGCGTTGATGAAATAGGTCCTAAACAAGAACTGTAAACCATTTTTATTTTTTTATGCATTAATTGTGTCTTTTGAGTTTATTTGATAAATAAATTTGTTACCAAAAATCATTTCCCTTTGACTCAGTTGTTTATATACATTTATAAACGTGATAAAACAGCTTTGGAATTTAACAGAGCTTTACCGGGCTCAAGAAAATTATCACACTGTCTTGTATTTTCATTTTTACCGAGTACCCGGGTACTCGATCGGAAAAACGTCCGAGTAACCGATTATCAAAAATTGACCGATTTGACATCCCTAATAAATACTGTCATGGAAAGATGCATTAAAACATAAGAAATAGAATGATTTTTTTTTTTACCAGATAAGTTTCTTTTTTTTTTAATTTACTTTTTATTAATTAAAAACACAGGGAGATAACCCTTAACAAAATTCAAGGTCATAAATGAAGACACATCCCACAATATTACATGCTAATAGTAATAAATGGGAATTATGTCTAAATATTTCCATTTCTATTTGTTTTCTCTGTGATAACTCTACTGTGATCATTCTACCGGAATGTAAATTCCGCCAGATGAAAGGTCAGGAGCTAAGAAGGCCTAATATGCATGTAATTCTCTTGCGGCTGTCTTTGTGTTTGACATCAGTGGGTGGGGACTATTAAAATTGACCTGTGAGGCCTCGTGTAATTTAAATCTTTCTACATTTTTAAAATCTAAATTTACAATTTTATTTCACAATGAAATGGAAATATAAGGAATCACTGTCTAGTTAGTATAGTATGCCAGGGACATCAATGATAGTTGGAAACGTAGGCAAATTATCCCACGTTTCCAACTATCGTTGATGCCCTGGCATACTCTATTAACTAGACAGTGATTCCTTAAATATACTGAGTATTCCACCCATACACATCTGTTATGTATTCAATTTCATCGAATCTGTTGCTATTAGGGATGGAATACCTTAACTTCTTTATTGCTGATTCAGCATCCAACTTCTTCAGCTAGCTTCTGAATGCCTGACTTTCCCAAAGCTTTGCCTTACATAACTTTTGGTTTGGCTAATCCATTCCAAGGGTTATCAGGTCATTCCATTATTTGAGGTCTAAAATGTGTTTTACTCAAATGTCTCTTAACCATTACACCTATATATTCCTATGTAAAACTTTGACTGTTGTGGCCTTGTCATACCCCTGGGGGTCATGATTTGAACAAACTTGAATCTACACTACCTGAGGATACTTCTGTTTTAATATGACTAATGATGGCTTAGCTGTTCTTCAGAAGAAGATTTTTAAAGATATTTCCTACATATTCCTATGGTAAACTTTGACCCCCTGCTGTGGCCCTGCCCTACCCCCAGGGGTCATGATTGGAACAAACTTGAATCTACACTACCTGAGGATACTTCTATTACAGTCAAACCTGTATTAAGCAGTCACCTGTGGGAAACATTAAAAGTGACCTTTATAGAGAGGTGACCTTTGAAAAGAGGTTCTTCTTTTTTCAAGAAAAAAATCTTTTCCAATTTAATTGTAAGTTCTGTGTTTTAAAATACTAAATCATGGAATATTAAAGAAAGATGTGTTTTGGAAATCAATGGTCTAGCTCTGTTAGATTTTTTTTTTAAATTTAAATAGTTTCAAGATTAAGTTCAAGCTAAATTTTATGACTCAAAAAAAATATATATATTGAGTCTAATAGGGCATCCTTCCTCCAAACAACAAAAAAACTTTCTTTTATTATAAGATGTCATCATCATGTTGTGCCATGAATAAAATATAATGTATTTTTTTTTTATCTAAACTGCCTTTAAAAAATACAAGTTTAGTTAGTCCTAACAATTGTATGTTTAATAATACATAAATAGTAGCGTAATAAACAGACAAGTCATAATATTCTCAGTTTTTCAAAGCAGTACATAATACAAATTGATATCAAATTCCCAGGTGTTGTGAGCAATGAAGCGTGGCTAATCCTAACGGTCGTCTTACCTAGTTGAAAATCACGAAATAATCAAGGACACATTGAGTATACAAAACAGTTTTAAATTAGGGTTTCTACAAATAATACATTTCCTATGTGTTAAAAACGGCATGCCATGCGTTTACACAATTACGCCTATCAGAGTTGGGCATGCTAAACGTGAACTAATAATTAGGAAACACCTAATTATTGTATCCATTAATAGATAAATAAGGATGTCTTGTTTTTTTTTTATATCACTCAGAATTTTTTTAAACCAGATTCAAATTCAATAACATTAAGATTCTCGTAAATCCGTTTTCCTGATAACCTTTTCGGTCACAGCACCCTTGTTTAGTTTTGTTAAAAAAATAAATAAATTATCCAATATTTTTAAATGGTTTTAATAAGGCCAATTATTTTTTCCAATACAGTTACATTATATAGGAAAATTCATTATGAGGAAATAAAATGACCGCATAGGACAGGTGACCGCTGGATAAAGGTGACCGCTATGACAAGTTTGACTGTATAATATGACTAATCATGGCTTCACTGTTCTTCATCAGAAGATCTTTTCAGATTTTTCCTATATATTCCTATGTAAAACTTCAACCCAATCTTGCGGCCCAGCCCTACCCCGGGGGTCATGATATGAGCAAAATTGAATCTAGAGTATGTAATAAAGCTTTCACATAAGTTTCATCTTTTCCTGCCCAGTGGTTCTTGAGAAGAAGATTTTTAAATGATGCCACCAATTTTTTCAGGAATTCTTAATTATCTCCCCTTGAAAGAGGGTGTTGCACTTCCTGTGAACAAACTTAAATATCCTTTACACAAGGATGCTTTGTGGCAAGACGAAAGAGGGACGCTGGACACTTTTTGATCAGAAAAGCTCACTTGAGCCTTCAGCTCAGGTGAGCTAAAAGGGTCAATTTCAAACCCCAAACTATGCCACACAATTAGGGAGTGAAAGTAAAGAGGAGGGAATTTTACCTGCACAGTAGAGCAGACTGTCTGAGGAAATGCATCAGATGGATTCAGAGATTCCATCAGTTATGGAAAGAGAAAAATGCTCATAAGGCCAAGGTGCCATCATCTCCTTTGGCCAAGGAAGCTGAAAGATAAAAGTTTTCCACAGTGATTAAATGAAAATGAATCAAATCAGTCTGTCAAATTTTGCATAAAGCAATGATAACAAAGCAAAATTTCTCAAGTTTTCTTATATGTACAAATTAAGGTCTCACACAAGGAAATAATTTCACTATATGTTACTATGTAGCTTTAATTAAATCAATTAATTAATTAGACTCTCAGCAGATAATTCATGAAAGAGTAAATAGAGATTAATGCTGAGACAAAAATTTGAGATCAGAAAAAATATGCCTTATGCGGCTTTTAACAAAGAAAATTGACAGTAAACATACCTACCCTGAAATACACGTGGGTTTCACATGTTGACAAACAGCATCCAGGAAGTTGACAAACAGTCTACACACCATCCAGGAAGTTGACAAACAGCCTACACACCATCCAGGAAGTTGACAAACAGCCTACACACCATCCAGGAAGTTGACAAACAGCCTACACACCATCCAGGAAGTTGCATCATGCGCATCTAAAAAAAGAGTTCCCTTTAATTCAGTGGCAGAATTCTGCTAAAGATATGATGTTCCTAGTACATGAGTCCAAAATTAAAACTGTAGACCTAAAAAAAGTTGCTGAAAACAAAAAAAGAAAAAGAAATTGTCTCTCTCTCTATATATATATATAGAACTACAATTGACTAAGGCCAAATAAAAAAATATGTGTGGTTCCGGTTACCCGACCGTCCCTATTTTGTACCCCCGACCCTAAACTTTTTTTCGGCAATTTTCATATTTTTTCCGGAATTTTCCCAGATTTCTATCTATGGCTCCGGTTTAAGTTTAAGTTCCAGCAATGAAGGCCTCCTTGCAAAACATAGTGCAAGTGTTTAATAGTGTTAAATCCAAAGCAAGCTAGCATGTAGGTGTCCCTACCAATATTGACTAGTATATTATCATACCACATCTAAATGCCACTTGCAAAGGAGTGATAGGTATTATTTAGAAAAATTAAGAAAATCATTTAAAAAAAAAAAGAACCTACCTACCTACCCTAATTTTTTTGGAGGTGTAACCAGAACCACACATATTTTTTTTGTTTGGCCTAAGTTCATTTTGATTGACTATTTCCTTGCGTAAGACCTTTAAGACGACTAAAAGTTAATGAAATTAAATACAATTTGCAGAAAATGTCTTTTAGTTATTTATCTTTCATATAGTGTATCAAAATTTATCTTTGTCCTTAAGGGATGAAAAATAGGAGATAACTCTTCCTAACAGATTATTGAATTTTAGGCTAAATTTCTATACAAATTCATCTACAGTATATTAATTTCAAAACTTAAAAAAATCTTATGAGTTAATTATTGAGAAAAAAATTTGGAATGAAATGCAAGCTGAAATGTTGGGGTTTTTGGCTATCTGCTTAAAAGTTTTTTGAACTCTAATTAATAAGCTCTAATTAGTTAAGAAACAGGAAGTTTAGTGATTTATACGGAATTAATTAGCAAAAAATTGAAAATCTTAATTCTAAAACAAAGTCAGAGACTGGAAAAAATGGTGTCAAAAGAGACTTCAATAATGTACCTTGGAGCTTTGATAACAGTGATCACTGATTAATGGCTGGTGATTAAGATAAGGGGTTCTTTAGCAGTGGGGGGTGATGAGGCTTTTCCATCAGTCATCAAAGAATGGAGTTTTTCTTAGTAGACCAGGCAGCTCTAAAATAAATAAACGACACAAAAGTTTACAATACTTAAAAATGTGCACCACACACAATAGCATTATAATATTATTAGAAAAAGTCTACAAGTGTACAGTTAAATAATAATCATGCCAAAAAAGGGACCAAAATGGTTGCCTCAACATCAATACAAAAAAGGAAGTATTCCTCACAACAAAGGCCAGAAGAATATAGGGACCACCAGCCCAGTCCAATTTCTAGTTCCCATAAGAAGACTAAGTAAAGAAGAGTTTCGGGACATTGTACAGCCACAGAAGAATGGAATATTTGCAGTTACAGATGCCAAGAGCCGAAGCAGTGAGATGAAGATTTTGTGACCAGGACCAAGTGAAATCCAGCCTGTGGACTTCTACATGGAAGCTGTGTCAGATGATCCAAATTCAAAATTATACAAAGTCCTTCACCAAGAGAAGACTGCTAAATTGTGGAATCAGGCATTTATAGAACACTCACATAAGTTTCCATACTGTGATGGTTCACTGGACTGGAATCAGCATGGGGAGGAAAAACGAGGCCTGGCATGGATCCTTTTATATGATGTAAGAAGTGCCACTATATCAGTCACCGAGAAAAGCTTTACGAAGAGGTGAGGAGATCTGGAAGGGGATGAAGAGCTGCACAGCTAAATGTGGCCATGGCTGTCGGTCACCTGGGTACCAGTCTTACAACAGAGGGTATGCTTGGTATGCTTCTTGGTGCAAATATTGAACCAGCTTCAGCCACCAACATGCAACAGACCTGCAACAAAGTGGGGAAAATTATCACTGAAGTAAATAAAAACAGTATGAAGAAAATAAGGCAGAATATTCAAGAACTTAATAAAAATGTGGACTTCCTGATACCGCTATCAGAGCGGAAGGAGATGCCAGGTATAATAATGCCACCTTCAGTGCCATTGAAAAAACCCCATTCCAAGCTGCCACCCAAGTGACTTATACCGTAAGTGAAAATGTAACTCAGAGGAAAAATGTTCTGGCAGTATTCTGTGGGAACAAACTATGCAAGAAAGGCACACACCTATGAAGCAAAGGAAAGGAAGTTACCTGCCCAGGACACGAAGACTACACTGCAACCCTTCCTCCGGAGACCACCATTGGAGATGAGAAGAGATGGGCCGCAAACTGTATCGGGGAGTTACAAAGTGTTGACCGTCCACTCGTCATTTCCCATTTCACCAGTGATGGAGATAGTGCCGCTGCATCTGGAGCATCTGTAAAACAAGGACATGTGATTCAAAACCTTAAAGACTTGCGTCACTTCCTTGACTCTCAAAGAAAACAGACTGCTAAGGCTCCATTCAGCAGTCACATGTTTCTGGAAAGAATCAATAAAGCTATAAAAGAATCCATGCAGAGAAGATTTGCCTTGGACCTGAAGCTTCGATGCAGGACAGAGTATGAGAATTGCTACAAACACTACTCCGGAGACTTACCTTTGATGAAGCGGGCTATGTCCACTGCTGTCATAAGCTGCTACCAAGGACAGTGCGGAAAGTCCCGTCAACTTTATTCCTTTTCCTGTCATGGACTGAAAAGCTATAAGTTGAAATCTTCAGTGCTGCCTAGTGACTTTGAATTAAACATGACAGAAGATGACAAATGTTTGTTAAAAGACTGTATAAATTTGACTTTAGGACAAAGTAATCTTGATAGAATTAAATATCATACTTGTACACAAAAATCTGAATCTGTGAATAGGTCATATTTAAAATCAAATCCAAAATGTATTACAAGTAGTAGAAATAGGGGTCATGGAAATTAAACATTGGAACTTTGTGAATCTGTAGGGGCACCTGTTGTAAATGAAAGTAGAGTGGTTCATCATCTAAAACAACAACAAAATAGGCAAAATTACTTCAAAATGAAACAAAAACTGTTAAAATATAAATCTCAAAGAGGAAAATACTATAGATCTAAAAGATATCAGCAGTACGATAAAAAAATCTAAAGACACTTACTGTAAATCACTAACAGATCCAAAATTAAAAAGGAAGTTGTAAGACTCTAAAGGGGGGGGGGGGGGGATTGATGCTGTGTATTTAATTTAAATGTATGAAATTTGCATTTAATAAATATTTTGTGAATTGTCTTACATGTAATAATTGTTGCTATTTTTTTATTATGCACTGAATCTATTCAACTGTGTAAATGGGGAAAATGTGGATATGTAAATGATGTATAATTGTATGTGTAAAATATGTGACATTTTCTTATACGAGGGAGTCTATGCATGTAAATATGTAAAATTATCTCATTAAAATTATTTTAATTAATAATCTTGTTTTTCTTACCTGTCTGAACACAACAAAGGTTACAGAGGTGATTGGTAGAAATACGTTGATGACCAGACTGCATGCCGCATTGTATATCCGCCATTTTTGATCTTTAAAAGGGGAGACTACTCCTGAAATCAAAAGGGCAGACTACTCCTGAAATCAAAGAAATTGGTCAAAATGAGAGTTACCTGTTCCTCTTTAGGTCTCACACAAGGAAATAATTTCACTATATGTTACTATGTAGCTTTACTTAAATTTATTAATTAATTAGACTCTCAGCAGATAATTCATGAACAAGGAAATAAAGATTAATGTTGAGACAAAAATTTGAGATCAGAAAAAACACACCTTATGCGGCTTTTAAGAAAGAAAATTGAGTGTAAACATACCTACCCTGAAATACACGTGGGTTTCACATGTTGACAAACAGCCTACACACCATCCAGGAAGTTGACAAACAGTCTACACACCATCCAGGAAGTTGACAAACAGCCTACACACCATCTAGGAAGTTGACAAACAGCCTACACACCATCCAGGAAGTTGACAAACAGCCTACACACCATCCAGGAAGTTGCATCATGCGCATCTAAAAAAAGAGTTCCCTTTAATTCAGTGGCAGAATTCTGCTAAAGATATGATGTTCCTAGTACATGAGTCCAAAATTAAAACTGTAGACCTAAAAAAAGGTTGCCGAAAATGAAAAGAGAAAAAGAAATTGTCTCTATATATATAGAACTACAATTGACTAAATTCATTTTGATTAGCTATTTCCTTGCATAAGACCTTTAACTATTTATTTATCAGATTATATAAAAAATTAACCCTCTATGAATGGAATACATGTCATACACAATTACATGTAATACATGTTAATACATGCAAGGTCAAAATGATACATGCAGCTGAATATCATTTTAAAATTATACATCATGTTGAAGTTCTGTATGTCATGTCAGTAAGTCTAAGGGAAGTAACTCATATCTGCTGCTATGCTCTTTTAGCTGCGTTGATTGTTCTATGCAAATGAACCATTATGACTTTACCTAAGCTTGCTAAACAAAATTCCCACAGACTTCTACATTGTGGAAAAACAGCCGAGATGTGAAATGAAGTTGTCTCACTGCACCAGCATCATGCAGTGACCTGGCTGTGATGGACTCCTTGTGAGGGACCTGGCATCTAATGGCAGATGCAGTTACCTGAGCAGAATGGGACTCCTCTGCGTGAATATTATTTGTTTGTATCAAGGCAGTACAATTATTATGAGGATGTAGAGACCAAATCCCTGGGTAAGAAAGATACACACTCTACACCATGGTCTTTAAGTTGGACTTAGTCACTGGGCAACCCCCTTTAGGTAATGGTAGGGTGAGGAAAATTCTTCCTTCTACTAACACTGCCCTTCTTTCTTGCAGTCCCTACAAAAAACATCAAATAAAATCATGCTCACAATAGAAACCCTTAATGAGGCTGAATGTCACCAGCTGGTAGATGTCAACACCCTTAGGGGAAGTGACTCCCCCACGACATCCCTGTACGGTGTGTTGGCATGAATAATAACCCTTGTACTCAGAGGTGGGTAAAACACCATTCCAGCCAGTGACACAGACTGTGTACTCATTTGCTGAGAATATCACAACCAAACATCAAATTAATAAACTGGTTACTGAAAATAAAGTTTGCTCTAAACATAGCCACTTACTGGATGAAGGCACTGCTGACAAGCACTGCAGTCCTGGGGTGTGTGGGGCAAATCTACCAGTGCAGCATACTACTGGGGATGAGTTCACCTGGGTTAGGGAGGGGATGGCAGAACTCCCTTGAAGAAAGGGATGTAACCACTGATCTGGACAGCTCTGCTAGTCAAGCTGCAGATTTCTTCTATGAGGATGGTCTGCTGCAAAGTAAACCAATTCATTATTTTGACACTCAACATTTGTCAGAGTCCATCAGAAAGTCAACAAGAGGCTCATGGGCCTCATTGCTCACCTAGCCTCAGCTCAGGTGAGGTAATTAAAAAGACCAAAACTGTTAGAGGTCATGCCAAAAAGACCTAAGGCAGAAAAAAAACAAATTTGTGCATAACTTTGCCCTTGATAGATGTACAGCTGAGATAAATCAAGATCAGGCAGTACATGCTAGAGATGCAGATAAATTATTTTAAAACAAGCTGTCTTTTTTCCATATGTTTGCAATAGTGAAGTGTTACATGGGAGCTCATGCATTACACAGAAACACTCTCTGATGTGCAGAGGGTCAGGGTCAGTCCTAGTCATTTTAGCAGGCTAGTCGTTTTAAGACTCAGGCTAGCCAGGGCTCTCATTTGTCTATAATTGGGGCCGTTCAAGGGCCCCACTCCCAATTCAAAAAAGGTACTTTTTTCACAATTAATGTGTTAATTTTCCCAGTAGTCATTTCTCCCAAAAATTAATAAAAGAAAATATAGCTGGAAATATAATAACTTAACTTGCTATTCATATTCCTCTGTTTTGTAAAACAAATTTAGTTGATAGCAAAGACAGGAAACCCAATATATATGATTTTAAAGTACATATAATGGTTATCCCAAAATTTCTCAAAAGGTCTTTATTTTCCCAATCTTTACAGCCTGGCCCCATTCCCAAAAAGTGGTGTGAGAGCCCTGCAGTAGCTAATTTAAATGTAATGATAGTCCATTGCACTAGCAGAACGGGAAAAAAATTTCTCGTCAGTTCACTTTCTCTTTTCTATGTAGACTGGTTTCTTTTGACTGAGAAATAGTTTAATTTGTTTCTGTCACCAAAATGTGTGAAACTTTAACTTGTTACATTTTCATTTTGCATAGAAAAATTGTCGAGCTAGTTAGTTTGAGGTTTGGGCTAGTAATTTTTTTACTAATTAGTAGCCCCTGGGCTAGTGGGATTTCCAGGAAAATTTCAACCCCTGAAAGGGTTCACTAAATAATAATTATGTTAGCAAGAGTTGATTTGAACTTCATTTCATTTGGATAAGTCAACATACATTATACACTCAATAATCTGTATACACTTAAGATTCAGAAACAAATTGATGCTGCAACTTATATTAATCTGTTTCCTTGAAATAATTTTGAACAATAAATGTTTGTTTTTTGTTTAACATCTCCCTCTTGAATATTTTGTACTCAAATACAATGTAGAGACACCACCATTGCTGGTTGAGGGCTGAAAATTTAGACTTACATGTAGACTCAGCACTCAAGGCCATTGAGCAGTGAAGGGACTTTTTGTGTGCCAGCACCTACTGTGACACAGGACTTAAGTTTGTTGCATCCGGTCTCATCCCCATGAACAATAAATGTACGTTTGCCAATTTTGAATGACAAATAATTAAGTAAAATAAAATATTAAAGTAAAATGAAAAACAAAAGGCCCATGGGCCACAACGCTCACCTGAGTAACTCTGGCCTTGCCGTTTTTCACCTGATCCCCCCCCCCCCCTTGTAGTACTTATTGTGGCCCCGATCTATTTGAACAATTAGAATCTAAACTACCCCAGGATGCTTACAAGTAACTTTCAACCTTTCTGGCCCAGTGGTTCTTGAGAAGAAGATTTTTAAAGATTTTTTTCTGCACATTTCAATGTAAAACTTGGATTCCCTATTGTGGCCCCACCCTACCCCTGGGGTCATGATTTGAACAATTTATGCCCTGTTCACACAGAGAGTTTAATTCACAGTAAATTAATGCAAAGTAAAATGATGCGAATTAATCTAATGCGAATTAAATTGCGTTCACACGACAGCTAATGTGAAGTAAACTAATGCGAATTATAATTTTATTTCTACAACAAGGCTATTCAGTGAGGCTTTTATGATGTCATTTACAAATCATGTCATATTGTGCAGAGCAGGTACATACATTTGACATAATTTAGTGATTAACATAATTTTCCTTTGTCTTCCACTCAA